GATGAATGGAATAGAATAGATGGCTCAGAAGTAAACCCACTCTAACATGGTCAATTAACCTACAATAAAGGAAGCAAGAATGTACAATGGAGAGAAACAGTATCTTCAATAAATAGTGTTGGAAAAACCATATAACTAATTGCAAAAGTATCCAACTAGACAACTTTCTCACACCATAAACAAAGTAAACCCAAATGGATTAAAAATTTAAATGAAAGATGTGAAACCATAAAACTCCTAGAATAAAACATAAGCAGTAACCTCTTTGACACTGGTCTTAGCAATATCTTTTTGGATGTGTCTCCAAATATCTCATGGCAATAAAAGCAAAAAGAATATGACTAGTTCAAACTAAAGAGTTTTTGCACAGTGAAGAAAACCACCAACAAAATGAAAATGCCACCTACTAAATTGCAGAAGATATTTGCAAACAATATATATGATAAGGAGTTGATATCCAAAATATATAAATAACTCATACTATTCAATATCAAAAAATAAACAACCTGACTTAAAAATCAGTAGAAGACCTGAATGGACATTTTCCAAAAAAAGTCATATGGTCAACAAGCACCTGAAAAGGTACTCAACATCACTAATCATCAGGAAAATGCAAATCAAAATTACAATGAGATATCACCTTAAACCTAGTCAGGATGGCTTTATCAAAAAGACAGGAAACAATAAGAACTGGCAAGGATGTATGAGAAAAGGGAAACCTGGTGAACTATCAGTGGAAATATTAATCAGTACAGCCACTTTGGAAAATAGTATGGAGGTTCCTTTAAAAACTAAAAATAGGGCTTCCCTGATGGTCCAGTGGTTAAGTATCCAACTGCTAATGGAGGGGACATGGATTCAATCCTTGGTCTTGAAAGATCCCACATGCCATGGGGCAACTAAGCCCATGTGCCACAGCTACTGAGCCAGTACTCTAGAGCCCGCAAGCTGCAACTACTGAGCCCATGTGCCACAACTACTAAAGCCCATGATCCACAACAAGAGAAGCCACCATAATGAGCAGCCTGCACAGCGCAGCTGGAGGATAGTCCCCTCATGCTGAAGCTAGGGAAAGCCTGTGTGCAGCCACAAAGATCCGGCACCGCCAAAAATAAAAATTAATAAAGAAGTAAATGGAAAAACAAAACTAAAAACAGAAGTACCATATGATTCAGCAATTCCACTTCAAGGTATTTATCTGAGGAAAATGAAAACACTAGTGCAAAAAGATATATGCAGCCTATGTTCATTGCAGTACTATTTACAATATTCAAGATATGGAATCAACCTAAGTATCCATCATTATATGAATGGATAAAGAAGATGTGGTATGGTGTGGTACAGTGTATGTGTGTAATGGAATATTACTCAGCCATAAAAAAGTGAAATCTCACCATTTGTGACAGTATTATAGACATAGAAGGTGCTATGCTAAGTGAAATAAGTTAGAGAAAAACAAATACCATCTGATTACATTTATATGTGTAATCTAAGGAACAAAATAAAAGAACAAACAAAACAGAAACAGATTCATAAATACAGAGAACAAACTGATAGTTGCCAGAGGGGAGAGACATGGGAGGACAGACAAATGGTGAAGGGAATTAACAAGGTACAAACCTCCAGTTATAAATAAGTCACAGGAATATAATATATACATAGGAAATAGAGTCAATAGTATTTTAACAATTTTCCATGGTGACAGATGGTAACTAGCATAATTAATAAAAATATTAAATCACTATGTTGTATACCTGAAACTAATATAATATTGTATGCTAATTACAATAATAAAAAATATTGAATCACAGAGTCACAGAGTTTCAAGGTTGGAAAGGAATCAGGGGTCAATTAGTGCAACTCCTTTATATGAATGAGTCCCCTTCACAACATTCATAATAAATGGCCCTTCAGTCTCTCCTTAAATCCCTTCATGACAGTGAATTTAACCTTTTCCCAGTGCCTCAGGTAAAAATAAGCACATCTTATTACATTCCAGACAGATTTGTACCATTTATAACAATAGTTATTTTCAGCATTGTGAAACCTATCAATTTGATTAATATGAGTCATAGGTCCTTCATCTACTTTGTATATAGAGAAGGGAGAAAATCAATTATGGAACAGTCAAGGTTTTCATTTCTATTTACCTGTCTGCGTATAAGCTGCTTCTTTCAAGAATGAATATTCTGACTTAGTGAAATGACTTAAAACTGGATGCAACAGCATTATTAATATAGAAATAGAAATTCAAAATCCTGAAAAGAAATGCTCAACTCAAAGGCTAATGTAGTTGCTGGCACTGAAATTAAATTATCAGTGGGCTTTCTACAAGTCTGGACAAAAGGAGAAACAGTAGCTTACAGCTCTCTTTATATAACAGAAGAAAGTATACCAAATTTCCATTAAATGAAAATTTTTCTTAGTTGTAAAATTGTAAGAGAAATTTCTCATGTAGCAGCTTGTAAAAGAGATTTATTTCTTAGTTTTCTATGTGCATTCATTTTTGCCCTCTAATGTATTGCCAAGAATACTGCTAAACATCCCTTAAACTTTTACAAAAATCTCACAACCTCAATCCAATGCTAAAATTCTATTGACTATAGGGGACAAAGCACAGGCACTGGTTAACTACCTTTCCAAACGGGGCTATCAAAAATACTGTTTTTGGAACTTCCCTGGAGGTCCAGTGGTTAAGAATCTGCCTTCTAATATAGGGACTCGGGTTTGATACCTGGTTGGGGAACTAAGATCCCACACACTGCAAAGCAACTAAGCCTGCGTGCTGCAACCCAATCAACGCAGCCAAATAAATATTTCTTCAAGAATTGTTGTTTGTTGTCAACATTATGGGACATTAGCTTCCATATACACCCAATTCTTATCTTAGTTAATGTTGTTTAGTCACTAAGTCATGTTCGACTCTTGGTGACCCCCTGGACTGTAGCCCACCAGGCTCCTTCCGTCCATGGGATTTCCCAGGCAAGAATAGTAGAGTGGGTTGCCATTTCCTTCTCCAGGGGATCTTCTTGACCCAGGATCAAACTCCTGCCTTGGCAGGTGGATTCTTTACCACTGAGCCAGCCAGGAAGTCCCTCTTATCTAAGTAGGTGGGGACAAACGAGAAACTAAGCTAATCTCTGCTATGGAATTACCATCATTCCTTCACCTCTCTTGCAAACAACTACAGTTGGGTGATCACTGGGCACAAAATGATGTTCTTGTGAATTGAAGAGGTACAGAACATGGTGAATGGTGAGCAGACAGCGCTGTGAAGGTCTGCTGGAATATCTGATAAGACTTGGGATCTCTCAAAAAGAAACTGACATTATGTAAGTAACATGTTATTAAAGCTGGCCTTGATGCAGAGGTAATGTGAAGAAGGTGGGGTTTCTCACTTGCTCTTGAAACACCTCAACTATTTCCCCAGAAAATGCATTATAGACCTCTGTATCTGAAAAGTTACCAGTGAGCAAACTGTGTCTTTCTATAGTTAAGCCCCCATGGTTTTACAATACTTCTCTCCATTCTTAGACTAAAGAATTAGGGGGAGGGGGAGGTATACACAATGATTAGTTCACCTTTGAAGGCTTTTTTGGTGCTAAGACATCACAAAAGGCCCTTAGTAAAAATAGATTATTTTCCTCACAGTGATCATCACAGTGCTTTAGACTTTACCTGGACTACCTGGTTCTACCAGTACATTCTAAATAACTGAAGACAGATTTTAACCTCCTTCCCCACACCCACAGCCAGTGAGACCAAGCTCTGCTTTCTTCTCTATGGCTAGAAAAGGCATTAACTCTAATTTGTATTTCATCTGTGTAAATTTGGTAGCTCCCTTATTATCATTGTTTTTGTTTCTACTGTTGAATCTGGATTATATCTAGAGGTCTCTTGAGGTCAATAAACTAGATGCCATTCATACAAATTAGTTACTATAAAATGAATGAAAGTGCAATAAAAGTAACCTCCATATCAAATGAGGTTGTTTGTACACTGGTCAATAAAATGTATTCATGGTGTTACCATGGAGAGAACGAGAGAGATTTCAGGCTTACTCTAAAGAGGACGTAGGTACATCTTTGAATGAGTGACTCAAACAAATGACTTGGCTTCATATAGAATTAGAATAAATTAGATACACATTTGTTTAAAGCTAGGATATTACAGAGACATAACAGTAATGCTAATATACATGCTGGCAAGTGCAAATAAGGACGCTGATCATTATTTCACATCACAGTTTATTATGACATGCAACTGCCAGAAATCAAAGTCAATGCTAAAAAAGAAAAAAAAAAAACAAAACAAAACAACTACCCACAGCATAATCTCCTTTTCATTTTTAGCCATTCTACCCTGCAAGCTCCCTTTTTGATTAGCAGGAAACCTGAGAATAGAGGGTAGAAAATAATAATAAAAGAAGCCTGTAAATTATTGTATAATTTTTAAATGCCATGCCACCTTGCAGGAGAAACACCAGTTGAGACAAGCAGATATTTCCCCAGAGCAGTTTAAAATACCCTAAAGCATACATATGGCACTGGTGAATGGATGACTCTGAGAAAGCTCTCTGCTTTGGGAGGCTGAGTGGCACAAATACCCTGTGTGGAAGAAGTTGGCATAGCAACTCTGCATTTGCAGTGGTGAATCACAGAGTAAACAGGTGCATAAAACAACTACTGGAATGTGTGTGCTTCTCTACAAAGTGGTTAAATCTTGTAAAGCAGTTTTTTTGCTTCTCTTTTCAAGAAACACAAACTTTTCAGTCTAATAAATTGATGCAGTTAGTTTGCTGGATAGGAGAGGATATTCATGACTCCTGGGAAGATTTATTCCCTGTACTTACCCTGTATAAATAAGGGGACATTTACACTAAAAATAAGTCATTTCCTTGTCATAGTAGACACAATTCTCTGTTGACCGGAAAATGATGTTAAAAAAATAAGCTTTCTGTGTTTGTTAACATATGCATTCCAGAGAAAAGAACTGCTTACCTGTTGACAACGGGTCCTCTGAAATGCGGATCATATGCCCTTGGAGTACCTGCATTTAAAATAAAGAACTTTCTAAGCATGTAAGCCAATGAAATAGCAAATAAATATACAGAAAATATGAATAAAGAAAAATTCATATCTTAGCCAGTCCACTGCTTAGTGCAGGGTTGAACTCATTCTTTGGTCCAGTGAAACATCAGTTATACCTTGGATACAGCTGTCAATCATTTTCCCTCTCTCCAGCTAGAAGCAAGTCTGGGAAGAGCCGTTAAATACCACATTCTTAGGCGCACTGTGCACATATCCCCCACTGTTCTGAGCAGCAACATCATAGATCACAGCCAAGAGAGCAAAACTTGAAGCCCTTCCAGTCTGCAAAAATGCATCCTACCATCTGCCATTTCCAAGTATAGCTGTGTACTTGTGAGGGGCACAGCGTAACAGAGATGTCTGCTTATCTCAGTTCTCCCTTTCCTCTCAGTACACGAAGCTTTCCTTTGAGAAACTGGAATACCAGTCACCACTGGTCTCTGCCATGTTGGCTATATGTTATGCAAATATCATTATTATATTTTACTATACAAATGTTATTTTTATTGCTTTTTATCATTATTTTTTAGATCTACTGGCAGACGTGATACCATCTGAAGAAATGCCCTAGTCATTCACTGTTGTAACATGGAATTGTCATCTATTACCCTTGTCTTTAAACAGTACAAAGTAGACACAGAATGGCCTTTTCCCCCCACATGTACTGGGTACACCCAGTAACAAGTTCTGTAAAATCATTTCTCGCCAAAGGTTTATATTTTGCAGTTCTCAACCCCCTGACTCTTCTCCCCCAACCAAAGGATTCCTGCTCCCTTTATAAAAAGGCCTGAATTAAAGACAGAATTTCAAAAGGGTCTGGAAAAAAGAGGCCTGTGTGTCAGCAATCTGACTCAGCCTGTACTCAATGGGGAAATTAGACCTGAGGACTCCAAAGCCTCTTCAGTGTAATCACAGGCTGAGAGCAGAACAACAGGAAGGAGAGGATAGACTTGGAACAGAAATTCAAAAGCCAGTCCGTCAGCAAGTATTCATGAAGCACCTGTTATACGTTGAGAGCTCTGAGGGCATACAGAAGATATATAAGGATGCTTCCTGTCTTGGAGACCTCACAGTTGGTGGGTAAGATTGACATATTGATTCATTCAACAAACATTTCTTGATAATCTTTATATATCAGGTCTTGTATTATAATACACGAGCAATGAATAGACTGTATAAAATAATAAAGTACTAAATCGTATGGTACTAGCCTGAAGTGTTACAAGAGTTCTGAGAAAGTAAGTTTCATCGAGGACTAGAGCAGTCAAGAGCATTTCATTCGAGAAGTGAGATTTTTGTGAAAGATTAGAACAAAATAAAAGGGAAAAGAGAAACATTCTGAATGGATGAAACTAGAATTCTCTTAAATTCAGTAACTACATATTGATCGCCCATTATGTGCTCTGCATTGAAAGAAGCACTGCAGGGAATACAGGGTTTAGTGAAACACAGTCTCTTTCTTTAACAGGCTAACAAAGTGGTGAGCAGGGAGAGAGATAAGAAAAGACCACAAGTCATAGAAAACAAGACAGAATATGATACCATTAGAGGGGGTACATGGAAAGTATTAGGCGCATTCTAAGAAAGGAAAGGTCACATTCAGTTGAGATTAGTAAGGAAGAGTTCCTAGAGTCAGGATATCTTGAGATGGACAACCATGAAGTCATAGAGTTAGGAATGAACAGCAAGTGAACGGGGATGGTGAAAAGATCAGCCTGATTAGAATCCTAGATAATCGGACAGAAGGAGGAAAACATAAAGCGAAATAGATAGTATGGAACCAGACTATAGAAAGCCTAAAAAACCAGGAACAGAAGGTATTTTATACATCCTAGGCCAACAGGGAGTCATAGAAGGATTTCTTTTTTTGCCTAGAACTATAACTTAATACAAAAAACAGTAGTTTCATCTTTCTCATGTGAAGATGAACCATTTTGTTTCTAAATGTTACTTCATTCCCAGATCTCATGTGAGTTTTTCTTGTAACTTGGAAGGTAGGTAGCAATTTTAATCTGACTTTTCAGATGCTGGTTGTTCACAAGGACAAGTTGTCTGAGGAAATACCCAGAGCTCAGAGTTGAGAAGGGCCAGTGGCCACAGTGGCCAGTGGCCACTTTGGAGATCCCCCAGGATAGGGGAATGCTAGGCCTCAGCTTCTAGAGTAAACGTTAGGTTTACTTTCATTATTTCAAGTTGTCACTTAGTGGGACAGGTCTCTTTCTGATACAAATTCTGCACATTTACATCCCATGTCTTTGGGTTCCAGGTTGGGTATTGACAGTCATGGACCTTGGGTCATAGGATTTTCAACAAAGGAATGACATGGTAGAAGCAGGGCTTAATTAAAGAATAATCTAGTGAAAGTATATAAGTGCTATCACAAAGTGCAAAGTCAAGGGGACCAACTAGGAACCTATTGCAATAATAGAGGTGAAGTCATGTGAGCCCCACCCCAAATGGTGGTGGAAGTAATGGAAAGAGAGATTCATCTGTCATCACAGAGCAGTCGTGAGGTTTAAGGGTTAGGAGCAATGGCTCTGGAGTCAGACTGCCTATTCTCTGTCACTTACTAGCCGTGACCCTAGACAGATCATATCACTTCTCTGAGTCTCAGTTTCCATATCTGTAAAGGGTTAGTCACTCAGTCATATCCAACTTTTTGCGACCCCATGGACTATAGCCCTCCAGGCTATTTTGTCCATGGGATTCTCCAGGCAAGAATACTAAAATGGGTAGCCATTCCCTTCTCCAGGGGATCTTCCCAACCCAGGGATTGAACCCAAGTCTCCTGTGTTGCAGGCAGATTCTTTACTGTCTGAGTCAACAGGAAATCCCATATATCTATAAATGGGGATGACAATAGTATCTACGCCATAAAGATGTTATGAAGATTAAATGAATTAATAGTTGTAACAATGCTTAAAACAGTGGTTAACACTTAGTAAGCCCCTATGTATATTTATTCTTAGTCAGAATTACATGAAAAAGATAAAAAGCACTTGAGTGGTAAGACTTATGGTGTGAAAGAGAGATGCCAAAAAAAGACAAATAAAGAGATTTTAGACCTAGAAATTGTGATTCTCGGTTACTTTTGGTCTTTTACCTCAGTTTAAGGTTGATATTATTAAAACAGTTGGGAACATTAGCAAATGGAAGAAACTGTAAAGTTGTTATGAGAAAAAGAGCATGAGGCTGATTCAGCTCATGGGAACATCTAATTGAAAGTCTAGAGTTCAACTTAAATCAAGAAACCGAAGTCTTATGGAGAAGGAGAGGAATAAACTGGGAATTTGATGATGGGGGATAAAAGATATAACATTTAGAATGGAGAAACAACAAGGTCCTACTGTAAAGCACAGGAAACTACATCCAATCTCCTGGGATAAACCATAATGGAAAAGAATATTTTAAAAATGAATGTATATATGTGTAAAACTGAGTTTTTTTGCTACACAGCAGAGGTTGACACAACATTGTAAATCAAATTTACTTCAATAAAAAATTTTTTTAAAGAAATTGAAGTCTGGGTCAAATCTTGAGATAAATACTTGAAATTCATAACTTTATCACATTAAAAGTAATAAATTCCATAAAGAACATCAGGATCTGTTGTTATGATGACAATAACAATAATATTTAACACATTTTCAATCATTAAATGTTAAGCACTGTTCTATGTGCTCTCATGCATTATTTTGCTTACTTTGAAAAATAAATGTATTCTTTAGTTAGATTAGAAACTATTGTTAGCCTCATTGTACATGTGCAAAAACCGAGACATAGAGAGGCCAAGGTACCCACTGTCAACAACATGGTATATAATGGACCTGGGAGCCATACTGCCCTGTCTCATTGAAGCAAAACAGATGCTTCTGGTCATACCCTGCAAAGCCAGCATGGGTTCCTACTCTGGGGGAAGTGAGTAGAATGCTTTCTGTTTGAGAGAGCTGTAAATACTTCAGTTCTGACACAGTTTGTCAGCTTCTCCTTTTTTGACTGCCTGCTCTGCCTCTGCCTCATGGCAACAAATACATTTCAGGGTGTCCAGTCACCATTTCTCTGGGAACTGACTTCCTCTCTAATCCATAGGCATGGTCTCTAGCCACCAAGTTTCTCCCTTGTAGCTGTTTCCCGGCAATCAGTAACTGGATCTGGTTTGGATATTACACCCAAACTAGGCCAGTCATTTCTGGTCACTCTATCCCAGGGGTTAGAATTAAAATAGACAGTGAAAGATCAGAACTGCAAAATGTAAAGCTTGAAGGCCAGAGAAGCAGAGAAAGCAAGCTTTCAGAAAGAAATCACTGAAGCCAATGTATAAGAAGCAGCAAAGATGGAAATCTTCATGGACTTCAGCTTTCTGTTCCAGTCCCTACCCAAGACCTGGGTTGAGTTTTGTGTGATATATTATATCCTTATACTGAAGTCCTCTATCTTGCTTTTTGCTAGTTCACATCTGTTACAGGCAACCAAAGACTACCACTAATGCACTCCCTCTCTTGACCTGACTTAAGGTTTCAACAACTCATTTTAACAACATTTATTATATTCTTGCAGTAAAAAGTTGGTAGGGATTTGAGGAAGAATTCTGGAGACTGAGTCTGCTTTCACAAATCTCAAGTGAAAATAAGAAATATAAGCTTAAGACTAAAATTTCAGCACCAGTGTCAAAGAGCCATGATAGAGATGTGCAGAGGGTGCCATGGAGCCAGAGGGGGTCATGAACAGACAGGTCTCTCCAGCTCCTGGCTGAGGCTGAACTTGGGCTCTACTTTCCGCCAGTACTCAGGGCCTGGTGCATCGACTTGGATAATGAACACTAGAGCTGATATTCTTGCTGGTTCAAGATTTCCATCCCCAAACTGGCTGAATAGCTAAAATATACCAAAACCATTTTATCTAGCCCCTCTACACCAAATACTATGGTTCCAAAGGTCTGGGGTAGACTTGTCCTATCAG